TTCTTGATGATTTCGCATCAAAATTATGCAAATACTTGATATATGTATATATTTTTTTTTTGTATGTGTGTGTGTGTGTGTGACATCTACTCTGCAGAATATTAGAAATATGTACATACTTATCTTTCAAAGAAATCACTCAACGAACGATAATTGTACAAAGATTTGTTTCAAATTCATAATTGTATGAATACTGAGTATAGTGTACTGAGATATAAATTTTTCATGATATCTATTCTGCAGAATATACTAAAAATATATACATACTCTAATCTTTCAGAGAAATTACTCAATGAACAGTAATTGTACAAAGATTTGTTTGAAATTCATAACTGTATGAAGTGCTAAGTATAATGTACTGAGGATATAATTTTCTTTTTACGATATCTACGTGTATACACTCGTACACATACTCGTTTGAAATACATAATTGTACGAACGTTGTAAGCCGTAAATTATCTCTCATTAACTGCCGGTTTAGTTTCATATCCTTGCAAGCATAAACATCGCCGATGCGAATTTATCTTTGTTTTTTGCTTTTAATTAAATAGCCGGTCGTTTGAGTTGAGTTCAAGTCTGTTTGTCTTTTATACTGAATAAATAAATCTGGCATAGTCGGGCGTGGTGACTGGTGAACTACACTCTAGAGCACTCCTATTCTGAATGTTTAATCGAAGGCTGGAAATTTCGCTGATTTCGAGCGGGAAATTCGTATTCGTTGAAAAGAATGGCATTACGGTGGGACGAGGTGATTCGAGGTATCAGAAAAGAGGGAAAAGAAGAAGAGAAGACGGAGAAACGCTGAGATCGTTGAAGGAACACCGACCTCCGCAACTTCCGTAAATTCCTTCCGGCCATTATGGCCTCGAGCTGAAGCGCGCGACGAGTAAAGCAGAACTTCCCCACAGACCTAATAGATGAGATTTAGGGGTGGGGTTGGGGGATCGATAACCTTGGCCGCGCGCGCTTTCACGCTTCACCACCTTGAAGGTTTGACGAGCTTCGTTTGCTTTTTGCTTTTGTAGGGCATTGCAGCTGAACTTCGCGCCCACCAAGGGGCTTCACTATCATTTGCCGGTGCTCTTCGACTACTTTCATCTTGCCGCCGTCTCCATCACTATCCACGCCTGTCTCGTCGCCCTTCATCAACCTTACATCAAGTCGGTACCAAATTCAATCTCTTTCTTTCCCTTTTTTTTTTGTTTCTTCTTTTATTTCTACTCGTCCGGTTTACACGCACTGGGTGAACTCAGGGTAACTCGATGTGTCGAGCTTTGAATACCTTCGTTGTTTTTCAAACAGCCTCGAGAGAGAAATTTGCTTTGCGCGGAAGAGTTTCGCAGATTTTAAGGTCACCCTCGATCTGCGTATTTTTAACGACAGCTATAAAAAAGGAGGAAAGTATCGACCTGTTTATAGTCGAAAAGTTGATAGTCTCATGGGAGATGTTTTAACTTTGATTTAATTTTTCTTTTTTTATAAAGTCTAATCGTAAATCTACGAAAAACAAGCTGTCGTTCATGGCTAATTAACATTTCCGTGTGTCGTTGATCAATGCATCAAAAAAAATAGGGATTGTTCTTGAGATCTCCCGAAAATATTTATTAGCAAAGTTCCCCCTCTTCCTTTGCCTCCAAAAGCAACGAAGACGTTCAAGACGGGCCTCGGGTTCACCCCTGCGAACAATCAGGGAATTCTTTCCACTCGTTTAACGTTTGTAAAAATTTTCTCTTTCCCGCTTGCGAAAACGCCGATTCGATTCGTACTTGTGCGTTACTTGTGCGCAGGAAGAGCATACTCCATTATGTCCAGAGCTGGTAAGTTTCCAAAAAAAAAAAAAAAAAAAAAAAGAAAAGAAACTGGAACACTCGTTCGTTGATTAACAATCTGTTCGTGAACGGAACGGGGAGATTCGCGTCGTTGGTATTTCTTTTC